GGCTGACTTCTCCTTGCCTTTCCAGCTTATGGGTGCAGTCCGGTTCTTGGGGCCAACAGTGCTTGTGGTTTGGGTGGGACATTCTCTCTGCTGTTCTTAAGGACACATTTCCTCTCATTTTCCTCATGAAGTTCTTGGGGAAACCCTTTTCCTGTGTTTGCAGCATCCTCTCCTGCCAAGTTTTCCTTCTTCGCTCCAGGAAGCTGTGGAAGCATTTGAGAAACCCCTGCAGAGATCAGGGCCCCAAACAGTATTGGTGTGAAATTACAGCTGCCCAGATCAGGGTTGCAAATCCCCTCTGGAGCTAAAAGAATGGAATGGAAAGCCCCAAAAATTGGGGCTTGGCCGAGTTCCCAGCCCACATGTCTTTCCCTGTAGCTCTGTGTCAGAGAGGATTCCCAAGACTACTCTAGCTCACAGCCCCAGCCTGCCCCACCCTGCTGCAAGGCTTGCTGGGAACTGGGTCAGCCACTTGACTTCTTAAGGTAGCTATTATCCCAGCTCAGGGTGACTTAAGGTGGATCAGATACTTGTGGAGAAAATGGCAAAAAGGAAGCAAACGTGTAACTGATGGCATGTCTGCAAGAACTGGCCTAAGTTTTTATGTGGGCCATAATGTGTCATGCCTTGCTTGCTGGGGCCCCCAGAAGGCCTTAAGTATGAGATTCATGGGTTGGACTCTTAACAGACCTGATGTCACTATCCCTGAGGACAGGACAAACACCAGGACTAATCACCCCAATTATAGACCACAGGAGCTGTGCTGACTGTTTCACAGTGAGGAGTACAGCTACACACACGTGGACCTACCTTGTGATGCAAGCAGTAGAGTGGCCAAGCAGCCTGTGGGCTGGCACTGAGGGCTGTTCTCAGGAGACCAGAACTCCATCAATACCTAGCAAGTCCCAGAAAACCAGAATGAAGCCTCAGCTGGGTATAGGTTGGCATCTAGTCACCTCCTGTGGGAGATATAGGCCCTGTCCTCTAGATCAGGGAGCCCCATCCCCTCCCCAGGCCTTAGTTTGTCTGTATGTTAAATGGGTTCAGAGTAGCACCTCCTGGGGTTTGTGATGTTTCAATGAAAAGGCTCACAGTAGTCGCCCAGATGTTCATACCCTAGTTTATTCTTCTTTCCATTTACTCAGTAGATTTGTATGTGTTGTGTGGTGCCAGGTACTGCTACAGGCCTGAGGGAAAAAGAAAAAAGAAAAACCCTGCCCTTGTAGAGGTGGGTAACAGACAAAGAATAAATGAGTAAGTCCTTAGCACAGAGGGTGAGGAGACTTTGTCTGTGGAGGAAAACAGCAAAGCCAGGGTGAGGAGGATTGAGAAGAGGACACTGGGGCTGGAGCCCAGGCCTGGAATGGAAGCATGTGCAGAGGGTGTTTTCTGAGTAGAAGGAGCAGAACTGGGCTAGCACTTGGTGACACAGCTTCTAGGGGTCCTGCAGCGTATGGTAAAGTCTCCATACCCAGTTTGACTCCAAGCAAAAGCCACGGGGAGTAGATGAGTGCTATGTGCTGATCCTTCTGGCTACTGTGTTGAAAATAGACAGAACCAGATAGCAAGAGTGGAAGAGACAAGAAGAGAAGTTGGGAGATGGAGATGCTTAGAGAGTTTTCCTATGGAGCTGAAAAGGGAAAACAGCCCTGCCTCCTATACCCAGAGTGGATAGCTCCCAGATACCCAGCTATTGTGATGTCCCTTCAAATGATTTTAACATCATATGTCAAGAGTTACCTACAGAATGGTCTCCTAACTCTGGGGTAGTTAATTGGAGATAAGAGTCTCAGCCTCCTCAGTAGCTGGGATTACAGACCTGCCCAGATATGCTATTAAAGAAGAGAAGGTCTTTTTTTCCCATTACGTGGTGAATCCTCCTGCTTCTTCAAAACAGCCATTCCAGTGGGATTGATGCGTTATCAGAACTCCTGCTTCCCTTGAGCAATCTCGACCCTCCCACATAGCAGTCCCGGTTGGCACAGCCTTGCCATCTCTGGTCTCTGGGGAGGGAGAACCAGCAAGGACCTGCCCCCTGGCACCCTTCCTCTGCCTGTTTGGGGATCCAGCTGCCCTGCCTGGACTCTCTTTTCCCAGGCCCTTGCTTTCCTTTCCTTTGGGAACCTGACTGTGCAGAGCATTGGGGGAAGAAGCAGGGAACATCTGGAAGGCAGTTCAACTTGCTTCTAGGACTTTGTCCAAACTCTGCTCTCCTGCTGAGTTCAGCTGTGCCACTCAGCAGGGGACCAGGAGGGAGGCCTCACCCTGGGCTGCCAGGGGGCCTGTTTTACAGCCTCTGGCACCATCTTTCCACTGTCCCTCAACCCTCCCCACACAGAGTGGAGGCCCGATCGTTCCCACCCCTGTACACCTCCAAGCAGCCTCCCCAGCCTCTCCCCCAGATCTATGAATATCTCCCGCTGGCCTGGTGAGTGGGGAAGGGGGTTTCCATGAGAGCTTAGACTCAGATCTTAGGCTCTTGCTTGGCTTTTTCTACTCAAGGCTGGCTGGCTCTCTGCCACTTTGTCCACAGCTCTGCTTCCAGCTTTTGGGTAGCTAGTTGGAGATAAGAGGCTCATGGTCTTCTCTGCCCTGATGCTTTGAGTCAGGATCCTCAGATCTCAGCCTCCTAAGTAACTAGGCTTACAGTCTTGAGCCACCAGGGCCTGGCCAACGCTTCTGTTGTAGATAGGAAGTGGAAGCAGTCTCAGACCCTTTCGTACCATTTCCCATCTTCAGGAGCTTTCCTTGTCCTAATGTCTTCCCGAGGTCTAACTCAAATCTCTGCTCACAGCTGTTGGAGGTCACGCTGTTGGGTGCTATTCAGTGCAGACCTCCCCACAGCTTCCACTTGGCCACCTTCTCCTCTTGCTCTGGGTAAAGCTCAGTGGAAGTTCCCCTTCCCCAGTTCTTCACCTGCCCCTTGCCAACCTGTTTTTAAGAGCAAGGTTGCCCCACCCTGCCTGCAGGGAACTCATCAAACAGACAGCCAACTGCTTCCAGTGCCCAAGCCAGGACTAATTTGCTGCAGTATGTAAACAACCTGATGAGTGCCATCTGGCGCTAAGGGCTCTGGAGGAACCCCTACCCCTTCTAGGGTCCAGTTCCAAGGCCTTAAATCTTCAGGAGGGCAACTGAGAACAATTCTGCCTGTCTTGTCCTCCTGGGACTGTGCCTACAAGGGGAGCCAGGTGTGTGGTCACGGGTTGTGTGTGTGTTGCATGCAGGATACATAGTGCAGGTGATATGGAGTTGTGGATGTGACTGGTGTGTACAGCATGTGGTGGTGGGTGAGTGAGGGTGACGTGGGGTTGTGAATGTGACTGGTGTGTGTGGTGCAAGTGTGCAGATATCCAAGTACACTTAGATTGAGGAAGCTGGTAATCAAGAACTATGTAGAGCTGGGCCTGGGGGCTCACGCCTGTAACCCTAGCCATTCAAGAGGCTGAGATCTGAGAATCAGATCTCAGAGCCACCCAAGCAAGAGAAAACCCCAAGGCTCTTATCTCCAATCAACTAGCAAAAAGCCAGAAATAGAGGTGTGGCTCAAGTAAGGAAAGTACTATCCTTGAGTGAAAAAAAAAGTAAGGAAAACATGAGTTTAAGTCCCAGTATTGGGGTATGGGCATGTGTGCGTGTGCATGTGCACACACATCACACCACACACACACAATCTTCATAGCCTTGCCTTTTCTCTTTTATTTATTTGTTTGTTTGTTTGTCTTTGCCAATCCTGGGGCTTTGCCAAACTCTGGGCCTGGGTTCTGTCCTTGAACTTCTTTTGCTCAAGGTTCTTGCTCTACCAATTGAGCCACAGCACCATTCTGGCTTTTTCTGAGTAGATTATTAGAGATAAGAGTCTGATGGACTTTTCTACCTGGGCTGGCTTTGAACTACAGTCCTCAGATCTCAGCCTCCTGAGTATTTAGGATTACAGGATCTCAGCCTCCTTAGGATTACAGATATGAACTACCAGTGCCCGGCCATTCTTTTTATTTAACCTGCATAGTAGTATGTCTCTTAGAACTAGTTAGTATTTAATACCTAGCAGGTGCACACTACTTAGTGTGTGTGACAGAGGAAAGCCCCAGGACAGGGCTGCCTGCGGGGGGGGGGGGGGGGGGGGGCTGCCTGTCCACTGCAGTCTCCAAGCCTCTGCTCCCATGACCCCTTGCAGCTTCAGGCACTTAGCATCAGGACTTGTGGGCAGGCTCTGTTTCCACCTGGTATGGTCTGGAGCAGGTGGCCTGGGTTTTTTGGTTGTGTGTGTGTGTGTGTGTGTGTGTGTGTGTGTGTGTGTGTGTGTTTTCTGGCCTTCATTTGTACACCTTGGTTGGGAGCTAGCTCAGCATTACCAGCCTTTCCATGATGATGGAAAGTTCTGTGTGCCTCCAAGGAACATTTTAGCATTAGTGTTCTTAACTAGAGCCTGGAGCATAATCCATGGGAACAGGTGAAAATTGGGTTCTGGGTCAGCTCATCCTGGTTACTAAATGAAACAAGAGACTCTTGTCTTAAGGCCAGCTTGTTGAAGTTGGCCCATTTTTTTAAACTAAAAGTTCCTTACCCATGGAGTACTGAGCAAATCAGGATGGTTGGCCACCCTCACTGGGTCGATCCCATAGCCAGATGAGAAAGCCAAGAGGTCTGTGTGTGTATGTGCGCACACTCATTGTAGGGCTTGAACTCAGGACCTGGGTGTTGTCCCTACGCTTCTTTTGCTCAAGTCTAGCTCTACCACTTGAGCCACATAACTCCACTTCTGGCTTTTTTGGTAGTTTAGTGGAGATGAGTCTCACAGACTTTCTGCCCAGGCTGGCTTTGAACCTCGATCCTCAGATCTCAGCCACCTGAGTATGAGTAGCTAGGATCACAGGTGTGAGCTACCAACACCCAGCACCAAGAACTCTTCTTTAAAGGGATCTTTTTAGAGGGTCTCTTTATACCCACATTCTGTTACCACTTCTCTTTCATCCATTTATCTGCTATCTCTTTTTCAGGTCTATCAGGGAACCCTGCAGACCTGGAGAAACGTAGACATGTGTTTGGAAAGAACTTAATCCCTCCAAAAAAGCCTAAGACCTTCTTAGAATTAGTGTGGGAAGCACTTCAAGATGTCACACTCATCATCCTGGAGATCGCAGCCATCATCTCGCTGGTCCTGTCCTTCTATCGCCCCCCTGGTGGAGATAATGAAAGTGAGTATGTGAACAGCTCTGATCACCCCCCCCCCGCCCCCACCTTTTCCCTCTGTTGGTAGTTTGCAGGTGATAGAATAAAAGTTATGCCTAGACAGATGCCAGTGGCTCATGCCTGTAATCCTACTTACTTTACTCAGGAGGCTGAGATCTGAGGATAGTGGTTTGAGGCCAGCCCAGGCCAGAAAGTCCATGAGACTCTTAATCACAGAAAAAGCCAGAAGTGGCACTGAGGCTCAAGTGGTAGAGTGCTAGCCTTGTGTACAAGGAGTCCAGGGACAGCACCCCCAGAATTCAAGCCCAAGGACCCGTAAAAAAACAACACATGACTGTCATTTGGCAGGGTCTTCAAAGGAAACCCAGTGACTTCATCCTTTTTTCCCCTCCTCCCATCAAATCCATCCTCTGCCCTTAGCTAACTGTCAAGACCCTGCTACTCCACTGTGTCATGGCACTCTGGGAAAGAGCAGAAAGGGCCCAACCACATTGGGAGTCCTAGGGTCCTTCCAGTCCTTCCATGTGACCCGCATTGACAAAGGGTCTGCTTTTTAGTCATGTGCTTCCTTCCAAGTAGCGTAAACAGATCTAATGTTGGTGGTGAGACAGTGCTTCACCCTGCTGTCCTGATTTCCTTGGAGTTTTGTACTTTGTTCCTCTGGCCTTCCACTTTTACAATTCTTTATGTCAACAAAAGCCCCTCAGTGATTCCTTCTCTCCCTTCCCTGGATAGTCTGTGGTCAAACCGTAGCTAGCGCAGAAGATTCAGAGGAAGCAGAAACTGGCTGGATCGAGGGGGCGGCCATCCTGGCCTCGGTGATTATCGTGGTGTTAGTGACCGCCTTCAATGACTGGAGCAAAGAGAAGCAATTTCGGGGGCTGCAGAGCCGCATCGAACAGGAGCAAAAGTTCTCCATTATCCGGAATGGTCAGCTCATCCAGCTGCCTGTGGCTGAGATAGTGGTGGGAGATATCGCCCAGATCAAATACGGTGAGAGCGCCATGTGTCTTCTATCAACTACACACACACACACACACACACACACACACACACACACACATACACACACACGCACGCACGCACGCACACATGCACACACACCCATTTGAGGAGTAGGACCATTGTGTGCTGGGCTTTGTGAAGACTCAAGAAGTTTAAAAATAAAAATGTCTGGCACATGAAGCTGTGTTGGATTCTAGGCTAGAGGTTAAGGAAGTAATAGAAGGAATTTCAAAGAAAGCAGTTGCTGAAACTCTCAAATTGGTCAGACTTGTGTACTCTGTGTTAGAGTTGAGGATATGTAATAGCCAGACCAGGGGGAGTATTTGTTTGTTTTGGGGGATCAGTAATCATTTGAGTTTAAAAAGAAATCTGTTCCCACCTGATGAACTTAGCTGTTTTTCTTCCTTCCTCCTTTCCTTCCTTTCTCCTTCCCCTTTCCCTCTTCTCTCTCTCTCTCTCCATTCCTTACTCCTTTATTTCTCTTTCTCTTTTTCTCATTTTCTTTCTTCCTTCCTTCTTTGGCCTTTCTCTTTCTCCCTCTCCTCTCTCTCTCCTCTCTTTCTCCCTCTCTCTCTCTCTCCTTCCCCCTGTCCCTTTCCCTCTCTCTCCCTCTCCTTCTCTCCCCCCCTCTTTCTCTCGGGAATTGAACCCAGGACCTATACACTGTAGGCAAGCACTCTGACAGTGTGCCACCTTCAAGCCTGGAGTTAGCTTTTAAAGTTTATGAGTTCTTGCTAGGCTAGTACTGTGGTGGGAGGGCCAGTGGGAGGAGGCCTGAGATGGAGTGCAGAAGCTGGAGGTCCTCACCTCTACCAGATTCCTACCTTCTTTCCCTCATGGTCTCCTTCCCCCTATGCACCAGGTGACCTGCTTCCGGCAGATGGGGTCCTGATCCAGGGGAATGATCTGAAGATTGATGAGAGCTCTCTGACAGGAGAATCAGACCATGTCAAGAAGACCCTGGAGAAAGACCCCATGTTGCTCTCAGGTATAGCCTCTTACTGCCTAACTTCCTCTCCTCACACTCTCTCTCCTAGCCCTGTCCTGTTTCTTCCTTTGGGACCAGCTCGGGCAGTAGTCTATTAGTGAGTTAAACACAGAGGTATTAGGGAACCTAAAAGAGGTTTCTATGAGACAGGCAGGCACTCTAGAAGCCTTAGAGGGACTCTGCTACCTGAGAGATTGCTGCAGAGTTAAATACATTTCCTACTTTAACCTCAACTTGCTTGGGCTGTTTTAAATGGGCTCAGTTTGTGACCTTTTGTTTTTACGCTCTGCTAAGAAAGGTGGTGGTGATGGTGGAGGGGTGATGTTTTCTTTTAAATTTGTGCTTCATACAAAATCCTGTCCAGGGATAAATAACACCCCTTCTCATCTTTTCTCTTTCCTATTCTAGGGACCCATGTGATGGAAGGTTCTGGACGAATAGTAGTAACTGCTGTCGGGATCAACTCCCAGACAGGAATCATCTTCACCCTCTTAGGGGCCAGTGATGATGATAACCAGGAGGAGGAGAAGAAGAAGAAAGGTAAAGAACATGCAGAATGGGATTCTCTTTCTTCTCATCCCTGTGGATGAACTCAAAGCCAAAGAACAGATCCAGATGAAAATATCTACCAGAATGAAAAGGCAGAGCCCCAGACTCCTTGGGCTGAGATCCAGGTGTAGCCCTCAGCTCTTGGGGAAGCCCTGATAGAAGCCAGATGCTGACTCCAGGCTTCCAAGCCAGGTGTCATTTGAGCCTCAATCCCTGTGTCTTGGGTGGGCAGTGAAAGGTTGAGTCAGTCTGGCTCAAAGCAAGCTGCTAGGTGCTCTAACTCCAGGTCTCCTTTTCCCCAAAGATCAGGGAGTAAATGAAGCATCATAATTAAGGGGAAACTGACTCAAAGGATAAAATTGGTTCCTGCTGAAAGGATGGGCTCTCCAGGCAGAAAGACACAGCTAGAAGAGTGGGAACAGACAGTGTCATTCCCTTCTCCCTTAAACATTAGCACAGTCTTTGCTGGTCACTTTTTCCTGAAGTAGCAATCACTTTTTCCTGAAATAGCAATCACTTTTTCCTGAAGTAGCAAAAAGAAAAAAAAAAAGATTCGAAAACCAAATCAACGCATTTTTCTGAGCCTTCCATCTTCCCCTTGGGAAGAGGAGGATTGCTGCTGCCACCCAGGGCCCGAGGACCATCTTGGGCCGTTCAGTGGGTGCCCACATTCTGAATCCCAGAAGCAGACTGTTGCCACCGCTGCCTGCAGGTGAATGAGGAGGCAGGTCGCCTAGTGATGTCGCTCTGACATGGAGACACCTTTCAGGGCCTTTGCTACAGGGCAGAAACAGTGCCCACCTCTCTCTCTCTCTCTCTCTTTGGCCTCCACTCCATTTTTCCAAGTGGCAGCCATGCTTCAAGAGAAAGCAGCTCGAACACCCACGTGATCACTCTGCCTGCCATCCCAAGGATTCATTAGAACGTTTAGGAAGAATGAACGAGCCGAAATATGGGAATCTTTTTATATTTATTTCCCTGTCCTACAATCTGTTCCTTCACTGTAGCCCTCTGGGCTGATGGCAGGACGAACAAATTGCATATCCCATCTCTTTGGGTCCCCGCCCCACTTTTCTCTTTCTTGTTCAAACAGGTAAAAAACAAGGAATCTCTGAAAATCGCAACAAAGGTAACCTCTCCACCCACTCATTTATTACCACTTCTATCTGCCCACACTCAAACCAGTCTTTTCCAGGCTATCATCTGCCTTCTCCCCTTCCCTCTCACTAATCTGTTACCTACTACCCCTGGTCCAGATGCTTTATTCTGAGGAAGGTGCAGAGATTTGGGGTGGGCTGAAGGTCCTAGTCTGGACCTAAGACAGGACAGCAGCACCCTCTGCTGTTGGTTTACAGAAACTCATGTTCCGGCTTCCCGGGTGTGTGAGGATGGATCTCCTCTTCCCAGGGTGCTCGCTGCCCACTGTCATTGGTTTCTGGGTTAGATGTCTTGACAGTCCTTAAAAGGGAGGGCAGAGGACCAACCAATCCTGCACCCTCCTCTTCCCAGCCGCCTCATCTGTGTCTTCTTGTCTGGATTCTGCACTAGTCTAACTCAAGGGTGCTTGGAGAGAGCCCTTCCTCTCACTCTCTCTCCCACTCTTTTCTTTCTTCCTGCCACAGTCTGTCTTGTTCCTCCTGATCTGGTGTGTGTTTCTCTTTTTGGTGGCCATCTTTCCATCCTGTCTCTGTCTTGTTTGTGTGTGTGTGACACCACAGTCTGCCTCTCAGGAAGGGACCCCTCGGGCCTGGGCTATAATCAGGGCATGTAGCAGGAAGCACTCTCTTGAGCAGTGGTGAGAGACCCTTTTCCCTTTGCTAGCACATCACAGTTAATTCTTTACCTAGTCAGAGAATCAGGACTGAACGGCAACAGTGCTTTAATTTTAGATCTCTTTAATTCTTCTAAAAGCAAAAATCTCGGCTTTCTCTTACTCTGAGGATCCTTTTATGTCAGCATCTTTCCCCTCCCCGGAATACTTAATCCCAGATCCCACTCTTGGACCCTCCCCCGCCACATCTGGGAGGGAAAAGGGGGGTTTCCTTCCCCATCCTTTAACTTACATAAAGAGGGACTGGGAGGTGTCTTGGGTCTGAGAGGCTGCAGAGGAAGAGAGGAGGGAGAAACATTTTTATTTTATTTTATTTATTTTTTTGGTCCAGTCGTGGGGCCTGAACTGTGGGCCTGGGCGCTGTCCCTCAGCTCTTCAGCTCAAGGCTAGCGTTCTACCACTTGAGCCACAGCGCCACTTCCGGCTTTTTTCTTTTTTTGCTTATGTGGTGCTGAGGAATTGAACCCAGGGCCTCAGGCATGCAAGGCAAGCACTCTACCACTGAGCCACCTTCCCAGCCCGGGAGAAACATTTTTAACAAAGTAGGTTAAGACCTTCTAGAAGCTTCTCCCCTTTTAGTCCTTTTCTGCAGTAAACATTCACTATTTAAACACTGGATTCCAGGAAGGATGGCGTTGGTAATTATACTTAGTGGCAAGATAAGCCCTTTTGCTGGAATAAACCTAGCCTGGGGCTCAGAAGTGGTGCCAGGGAGCTGCCACTGAAGAGGAAGTCCAGGCCCTAAAGATGCCCCAACACACACACTCTCTCTCTCTCTCTTCCTCTCCAGTTGTTAGCCTACCATTCCATAGGCCCTGGTGGTGGGGAGGCGGGTGGTCTCTGAACTAATGTCAGGGCCCAAGGTGCACTCCAAGAAGAAGATAGGATTTTTGTTGTTATTGTTTGTTTGTTGTTTCTACCAGTCTACTACTCAGAGCTACCACCTTGTCTGCTCACTCATCTGTTTATGTGTACACCCTAGCAAAGACCCAGGATGGAGTAGCTTTGGAAATCCAACCACTCAACAGCCAGGAGGGGACAGACAATGAGGAGAAGGAGAAGAAGTTAACCAAGTTACCCAAGAAGGAGAAGTCAGTGCTGCAGGGCAAGCTCACGCGCCTGGCTGTGCAGATCGGGAAAGCTGGTGAGTCAGCCAGTGCTGCCTGCCTGTCGCTGGAGATCGCCAGCTTCTGTATCCTTCTCTGCACCCACTAAGGCTGGCAGAAGGAAAGCAGGGCTTCTGCATTGCTAGTGTATTGGACAACACAAAGAGAGAACATCTTAGGCACCATAGAAAGTTCTATAGGCATGTATTGTCCCAGCCTAATTTTTATTATCTTGAAGTCTCTTCGCATATAAACTCAGCCTGGATGGGATGAAATACAGAGGCAAGTTATTGAATATGGTCCACAGGTTTGAAACATTAAAGAGACCTCACCAAACCCCATTCTAGCTGTTCCTCATTATTCTTCGGGGTGCAAGCTCTCTGAAGATTGACCAGTAGTCTCTACTGCTTGTTTTATATGTCAAATCAGGTCAGGACTTAAGGAGGCAAGTGCCTTACCCCACCCAGAGAGTGAGCACCTCCCTAAGTTTTGTGCTACAGGTGACTGTCCTGGTCCTAATCAAGCCAACTACAAATGAATACGCTTCCATTGGTATCATTACCCCCAGCCTTGCTCTGAGGCCTCTGAATCATTGGGCCCTCAGCAAAAGCCAAGGGCAAAACTTGACAATATAGGATGCTTGTTACCCTACCAGTGTGCCATAGCAGAAGCTTCTGTGTACCTTAATTTTATCACCTTGAAAAAGCTGTGATGGGGTTGGATGGAACTCAGTGGTATAGCTCTTGCTTCTCACGCACAGGGCCCTGTAATCAGTCCCCAATATCAGAGAAGTGGGTGAGCCAAAGAGGGGTGAAACAGTAATTCACCTTATAGGGTGGTTGTGAGGTGGTGGTGAAGGACACATCTGACCCATAGCAGGCACCATATACATTTCTGCTGCCATCTTTCCTGTGTGCTGAAACAGAAGATTGACCACTATGGATAATGTGCTAGGGCTACAGGGGTGTCCTTGTCACCAAAGTTGTAAATTGTCCCACATTTGTAGGCTAAGAGATGACAAGTCAGAATTGATAAGCTACCAGTAAATGGACAAATACAGTGTCTGTATTAGGGACTGTGGAATGGAATCACAGGATGCTGTCTCAGAAAGCAGACCAATCCTCTTACTTATGAATGAGAAATGTAATCTAGTACATGGACCCCATGAGAATCAATGGCTAATTCAAATTCATGAGTCACACATATGCAGGCCTGGGAATAGAACCTTCATCTTTAGACCCATTGAGTTTAGAACTAGCATCTTTTGACTTAGAAGATTTTAGTCTGACTCCCTAAAGCTGGTGGTCTTAAAGCAACTTTGAAAGGCTACAACTTGGGGCTGATCTTTCTCTGGCTGGAGCCCTGGGAACTCTGCCTCAAGCCTGGCTCATTTATACCTTCTTTCCCTGGACAGGCCTGCTCATGTCTGCTGTCACAGTCCTCATCCTGATTGTGTACTTTGTGGTCGACAACTTCATCATCCAGGGCAGGCCATGGCTACGTGAGTGCACACCCATCTACATTCAGTACTTTGTCAAGTTCTTCATCATCGGTGTCACTGTACTGGTGGTTGCTGTGCCAGAGGGGCTGCCCTTGGCTGTCACTATCTCTTTGGCCTATTCTGTGAAGGTGAGACTGGAACAATTCTGTTGCTGTTGTTTTTAAATAGAAATCATAGATGCCGTTCTTGAGAAGGATTTTTCTGTATGTAAACTTTTTAAAAAAATATATCCTTTAAGTGGTTTACAAAGGAGTTGCTATTTAACAAAGCAGTTTATGACTATAACATATCTTGATCAATGTCACTCCTTTAAATCTTCTCTCTTACCTACCCCTTCCCTCACTCTTCTTAATATACATTGGATTCTTGAATGCATTCTCTCCCTCTACTCATTTGTCCACCCCTTTCTCTTGATCCCCTGCCCTTTTCAAAAGTTTTTTTCTTAAACATATATCATCTCAGATCCTTACATTGACTTCAGAGTTTTCTTTACTAAGGTGATAAATAATTAACTTCAAATCTATAAATTCTAAATTCTAAAAAAAAAAAAAAAATACAGTAAGTTTCAAAATTACCTTGAAACGGCCCAAAGTCAAATAGCTAATAATTTCCAGAGTTGATATTCAAACCAAGCATTTTCTGTTTCCAGTACTTTCCAAAGCATAAGAAGATAGTTTGTTCCCTCCACTAGCAAATGTGTGCCAGTAAAATGTGTGCCAGCCACTGATCATAGCACTGAGGATTCCACAGTGAATGGAGAAACCCTACATCCCCGACCTTTTAGAGCCTGTGTCCTAAAAGATGGGGATGACAAATAAAATGTTACTTGAGGGACTTCAAACCAGAAATTCTATGATGCTAACCCCAAAGATCATGCTTTTTATAAGGCAAGGGTCAGGCTCTGAAGCACATACTTTTTTTAACAAGGTCTCTAGGTAGCATTTTGATGCTAGATGTTAGTTTGACACTGCTACACTAGAGTTTGTTCATTCCTTCTGAACACATCCTTCTATAGTGATTTCTTTTTTTTTTTTTTTTTTAAGTTTTTATCTTTATTTATCTTTTTTGAGTCCGGGCATGGGGCCTGAATTCTGGGCCTGGGCACTGTCCCTCAGCTCTTCAGCTTAAGGCTAGTGCTCTACCACTTGAGCCACAGTGCCACTTCCGGCTTTTTTTTTCTTTTTGCTTATGTGGTGCTGGGGAATTGAACCCAGAGCCTCATGCATGCAAGGCAAGCGCTCTACCACTGAGCCACCTTCCCAGCCCCTATAGTGATTTCTTAAGGTTAAATTTTAGAAGAAATTATACACATCTCTTAAGAGAATAATTCTGGGAATGATTCTGTTCTTTGGTGGAAGGATAATCTATTCTGTCTGCTTCAGATTTGGGGCAGCATCTCACAAGAACACAAGTTCTGGCAATGGGGAAGCACTATGGCTTTTCATTTCTTCAGTGATTAAATAAACCAGTAAATTCTTAAAAAAAAAAAAAAAAAAAAAAGCCGGGCACTGGTGGCTCATGCCTGTAATCCTAGCTACTTGGGAGGCTGAGGTCTGAGGATCTCAGTTCAAAGCCAGCAGGAAAGTCCGTGAAACTCTTATCTCCAGTTAACCACCAGAAAACCCGAAGTGGCACTGTGGCTCAAGTGGTTGAGTGCTCACTTTGAGCTGAAGAGTTCAGGGACAGTGCCCAGACCGAGTTCAAGCCCCACAACCAAAAAAAAAAAGAAAGAAAGAAAAAAATCTTATAGAAAGAGTATCTGACCATGTGGAGGGATACTGTCCAGGACATGGCCTTTGACCTATGTTTGGGAGATCCTAGTCGGTCCTCTCTCAAGTCCTTTCCCTTTTCCTTTCTAGAAAATGATGAAAGACAATAACCTGGTGAGACACCTGGATGCTTGTGAGACCATGGGTAATGCCACAGCCATTTGCTCCGACAAGACGGGCACACTGACCATGAATCGCATGACAGTGGTACAAGCTTATGTTGGGGAGACCCACCACCATCAGGTCCCAAGCCCTGATGTCATCGTGCCCGGGGTCCTGGATCTTATTGTCAATAGCATTTCCATCAACAGTGCTTATACCTCCAAGATTCTGGTAAGTCCCACCTGCCTTCACCTGGGCACCAGGAGGAGAACATTTGTTTTCTCAGAGACATATCTCTTCTTGTTTATTCTTCCTGCATCACCATCCCACGTCCCATTTCTGACTCCTGACTGAACATGTATGAGGAAAAACTGGGGATCGGTCTATGGGAGTAGATGGAGGGATGGGGATGATGACTGTAGAAATCAAGGGCCCCAGCCAGGAACCAGTGGCTCACACCTGTATCCTAGCTGCTCAGGAAGCTGAGGTCTGAAGCCAGCCCGGGCAGAAAAGTCCATGAGACTCTTACCTCCAATAAACTACTCAGAAAAAGCCAGAAGTGGAGCTGTGGCTCAAAGTGGTAAAGTGCTAGCCTTGAGCACAAAAAGGCTCAGGGATAGCACCCAGACCCTGAGTTCAAGCCCTATAACTGGCACAGAAAAAAAGAAAGAAAAAGAAAAATTGAGGGTCCTCCATTTACACTGTAATGGCGATATCTCTGAGGGATCCCATGTTCTTAGCAGACTTGGTTTATCTGGAGTAAAATACTTAGAAACTAACCCCTACAGGATGAGACACCTGCACTGCTACTAGAGTAAATTTAAAATTTCGAACCTGGATGGCTTTGGGATCAAGATTTCCCCACCCACGGCTTACCTTTGAAAAGACAAAAACAAACACTGCCTCCCTGGGGGTTGGGGTCTGCCCAGGACATTCACCTTCTTGAGCTCTCCCTCTGTCTCCCCATGTGTCATTCATTCATCACGTGTATATTTTTCCTCTCAGCCTCCTGAAAAGGAGGGAGGCCTCCCACGGCAGGTGGGCAACAAGACGGAGTGTGCCCTGCTGGGCTTTGTCAAGGATCTGAAGCAGGATTACCAGGCCATACGCAACGAGGTGCCCGAGGAGTCGCTGTACAAGGTTTACACCTTCAACTCCGTGCGCAAGTCCATGAGCACTGTCATCAAGAAGCCCGATGGGGGCTTCCGCATGTTCAGCAAGGGCGCCTCTGAGATCATGCTGCGCAAGTGAGTATCCATCCCCCTTTCTCCTTGCCTTCATCATGATCCCCTTGGAAAGGTCGTGGTGACAGGCCCCACGCTGAGCCACTCTAAATGATGAGCAAGCCCTCCAGCCACCCTGTGACACCTCACTGACATCTAAGCACTGACCAAACATTGGTTTTGAAGTACTTCAGGTGGCTCCTTGTATTTAATCCTCCCAACTCAGGTGCATAGCGATCGCCCCTCTGTTACCATGAGAAAACAGCGGTGCCAAAGCAGTTGTGCAATTTGTTCAAGGAGATCCAGAGAATAGAATTTCTAGCTACTTAGGAAGCTGAGATCTGAGGATCTTGGTTCAAAGTCAGCCCCAGTAGACAAATCCTCGAGCTTCTTATTTCCAGCCAACCAGCAAAAAACTAGAAGTGTAGGTGTTGGCTCACATGATAGAGTGCCATCTGTGAAAAAGGAAAAAAAAAGCTTGAGGCCCTGAGTTCAAGCCTCCCAATACCCCCCCCCACACACACACACACACATAAAGTGGCTAGTTGAACCAACTTGAGGATAGGTCAAGTAGAGCTAGTTTAACCAGCACCCCAACTTCAACATCCCAGCTTGACTTCAGCCACCTTCTTTTCATCAACACATTCCTATTTAGCAACCCTATGTGTTTTTTGTTTGTTTTTTTTTTGGGGGGGGGTGGCAAGCATGTGTGCATGCACGCTCACATGAGCACTCATGTGCACGCACATGCCAGTCCTGGAGCTTGAACTCAGGGCCTATAGGGGCTTAGTCCCCAGGTTCTTTTGCTCAAAGCCAGTCCTCTACCACTTGAGCCACAGCTCCACTTCCAGCCTTTTGGTAGTTAATTGGAGCTAAGAGTCTCACAGACTTTCCTGCTCTGGCTAAACTTCAAACCATGATCCTCAGATCTCAGCCTCCTGAGTTGCAAGAATTATAGGCATGAGCCACTGGTACCTGGCTGAAAAGATCTCTCTACTTTTAAGAGTTCAGAAGAGCAGATGATCTACAAGTGTCTTACATTGTGCCCTGCCCACCTATACCCCATAGATCCTTGGGACACCCTCTCCCCTGCCTCCTTAGAGGGACTCAGCTGGGTGATGGATAAAGGAGAACTTTGACAGAGGACTGTTTTTAGGGATAGTGTCTGATTGTGCAAGCCGGTGGAGTGGGAAGGGAAGGAAACACTGATGTCTGACTATGGGCTTTTCCAGGTGTAATCAAATCTTTAACAAGGAAGGAGAAGTGGTGCCATTCAGGAGCAAGGACCGAGATAACATGGTCCACACTGTCATCGAGCCCATGGCCAGCGAGGGACTCCGAACCATCTGCATAGCTTACCGGGACTTCGATGATGCAGAGCCCTTGTGGGAAAATGAGAATGAAATCCTCACGGAGCTGACCTGCATCACCGTAGTGGGCATTGAGGACCCTGTGCGCCCAGAGGTGAGGCTTTGTCTTGGAGAAGGAGCAAGAAAATATGAACCACCATCTCCCAAAAGCTGCTAGCCTAAGCACAAGCCTAATGAGACGCCATTTATGGAGTCCCAGGAAGGGAGAGCTAGTTCTGAGTCCAGTTGTGACCCCCGGAATGTTGCCTGACCACTGCTGCTGCAGCGCAGATACAGGTGTTTCTGTGCCTCCCGTTTCCCATTTCATGCCCGAAGCCATGCAGACAGATGGGCTGGCCTTGGCCAAGGCCAAGTCCAGCAAGGGCGTCCTGAACTTGGGAGATTGCAAAGAGCTGATGAGGTGCTGGCACCTGGGCTGGTGGACAGAGAGTTGGTCTGAGATTGTGCTCAGAAGGAAAGCCATGGCCTTGTCCCCAGATGCTGCCCTGCCCTGCCAATAGCTTGCAGGACTAAGGGGACACCTCAGTTCAAACCTGGCTTCTGAAGCAGTATTTTGCTTCAACTCACAGGACAATGAGAACAATTCAGATGTGACTAATACAGGGTTGGACAGAAATAAGGTACAGCCAGTAGCTGGACAGTGGCAGGCTAGGTGTGACTACTTAGGTGAGGTATCACTAGCCCCATACCCACCTCTCTTCTTTCTCCATAGGTACCAGAAGCTATTGCCAAATGCAAACGAGCTGGCATTACTGTCAGAATGGTGACAGGTGACAATGTCAACACTGCTCGGGCCATTGCCACTAAATGTGGCATTCTGACACCTGGAGACGACTTCTTGTGCTTAGAAGGGAAAGAATTCAACAGACTCATCCGCAATGAGAAGGGAGAGGTGGGTCCTGGGTGGGAGGAGCCAGGCCTTCGGGCTGCTGAGGGCGGGGCATCTGGGGCAGGTGGGTGGCTTCTAAACAGAAATCTGTTCATAGTGAAACATCTCTTGCTACAAAAGCTGCCCAGATGGTGAAGGGGGTGGGGGGTGTTTGTCTTCATTCACAAGTTATCTTGTGAGACAAAAATCACTTGATCTTTTGCATGCCTTCCTACCTTCAGTCATGGGATGGTTTTTTAGATTTCCCCTACTACCTAACACCTTCCACGTCACTGCCCGGTAGCCAATAGGTGGCTACAGTTTGTACTCGGATGTGGCGTAAGTGTCAAGTAGACCAGAGATTCCTGGTCTCCAGAGAAATCACATACACATGAGGCCTTAGAAATGTTACCTGAGCCTCCGGAGCCAACTTCTGGCCCCAGCTCATCTCCTGGGCAAGGCTTCTAGAACAAAGGCTTGGTACCCTGCTAGGAAGTTGGGAGGAGAAAAAGAAAATACGCAGGTGCTGAGTGGCTGTAATCAGTGGCTCTACTCTTGGGGAATGCCTTGTGGGTCTCATCCCCCAAGAGGCCAGGACAGGATACTGTTTCCCACTGGGTTGGGGTCTCCAGGACTCCCAGAAGCTGGGCTTGGGTGGACAAGAGCTGACCTGAGTTTGACTGACCCAGGCATGGTCTGGTATTGGCAGGTGGAGCAAGAAAAGCTGGACAAGATCTGGCCTAAGCTGCGGGTGCTGGCACGGTCTTCTCCCACAGATAAGCACACATTGGTGAAAGGTAAAGTTGGCCCCTGAGTGAGTGTCTGCCATAGCTGAGGGGTGGGGACAGGTAAGAGCCAAAGCAACCCTCCTGTTCCAAATCGGGAGTCCTGTGAGAACTCTCAGGCTAATGGGGAGAAGATGTAGCTTAGCAAACATCTGAGCCCTGGGGGAGTATTCAGAGAATAAAGTTGGGTTTTAAAACATTCATCAGCTGGGCGCCAGTGGCTCATGCTTGTAATCCTAGCTACTTAGGAGGCTGAGTTCTGAGGATTATGGTTTAAAGCCACACAGGCAGGAAAGTCCATGAGACTCTTTATGTCTTCTTCACTACAAAAAAAAAAAAAAAAAGCTAGAAGTGGAACTGTGGCTCAAGTGGGAGAGCACTAGCCTTAAGCACAAAAGCTCAGAGAATGTGCCTAGGACTGGCAAAAATAATTAATTAAGAATAAAACATTTATGAGAGGTACTAGGAACTAAGCCTGGCAGGTAAGACCATTCCCATTTTCTCAGTAAGGAAGTTAGAAGCCAAAATGACAAGTAACTTACTCAGATTGCCTAGTAGGTAGGCAGAAGGAATGCATTTGACCTCCAAGTATCTGCCTTCAAATCCATCTGCCACTGTCCCTTTCCCTCTCCAACTCCAACTCTAACCTACACACACACACACACACACATCCCTCTCCAACTCCAACTCTAACACACACACACACACACACACACACACACACACACACACACACACTAGTTCTGTCAGGTCACTAGATGGAGACTTTTTTTTGGACTATGCTAGTACTGGGGCTTGAACACAAGGTCAAAGCACCATCCTTGAGTTTTCTTTTCAAGGCTGGATCTCTACCACTTGAACCACAGCCTCACTTCCAACTTTTTGCTGGTTAATTCGAGATAAGAGTCTTCCAGACTTTCCTGCCTGGGCTGGCTTTGAACCGTGATCCTCAGATCTCAGTCTCCTGAATGGCTAGGATTACAGGTGTGAGCCACCACATCCAGCCAAGGACTAACTTCTTTGGCTCACGGTGCTACCCAGGAGTCAGTTGCTGCTCTGGGTGATTACTATAGACTTCCAGCTTAGGGAAAAGGTAGGAAAGAGGAAGAAGGGGTAGGAGGTAGTAGAGAAGGTGAACTGAAGAGGAAGAGCCCTTCTCCTGGGAAAGACATTGCCAGATGTCCTCCATAGCATGTGTAGGCTCACTGTGACGTGTATCTGTTGTTCTCAGGCATCATTGACAGCACTGTTGGGGATCAGCGGCAGGTGGTGGCTGTCACTGGCGATGGCACGAATGATGGGCCCGCCCTAAAGAAAGCAGACGTTGGTTTTGCCATGGTAAGCTCAGCACAGCGAGTCTCCATGTGTGCACAGCACCTTCTCCATCAGGAGTCAAGACAGGCCTCCCTCAGTCTGTTGCCCTGCAGCACTTACATCTCTAACTCTTTATCTCTTCCCTATCTGGCCAATAATGTGTGTGTGCTGTAATATGAAAACAAGATGGCAGGCAGGGAAATCCTAGAGCCCCTTACCAACTGAAACTTGAGCATGATGGTGATGTCTGCCTAGGCACATTACGAGAACCCCATGCGACCGTGCCTGAGGGACGTTTGCCACTCTGCTTTTTCTTTTTTTCTTTTTGTCAGTTGAGGAGCTTGAACTCTGGGCTTGGGACAGCGGTCCCTCAGCTCTCCAGCTTAGACTAGCGCTCTACCACTTGAGCCTCAGCCCCACTTTCGGCTTTTTCTGCTTATGTGGTGCTGAGGAATCAAACCCAGGGCCTCATGCATGCAAGGCAAGCACTCTACCATTGAGCCACCTTCCCAACCCTCTGCTTTTTCTTTGTGAGGCCAAGAGCATCAGTGCCATTTGAAAATGGTGCTAGAAGTGTTTGATTTTTTAATATAATTTTACTGTTATTATTATATTGTACAACAGGATTACCATTCCATAAGTCAGATAATGAGTATGTTTTTTTTAAGCAAACATCCTAGCTGATTCTGATGTTCAGAGACATTTAGAAGCCCCCAGATGGCAAAGTACAGGCCTCAGATTCAAGTAGCTTATGCTTGAAAGCCTCCCATACAGACTAACCTGTTGGTGATTTTTAAGTAGCAGAAAAGGTAATTTAAGATGTATTCTATACTTAAAAGCCAAAGCTTTAATTCTAGAAACTTTAAGAATACGCAAAATAGGAATCTTATGATGAATTCCCATGTGCCTGTCTGTCACTCAGTTTCAACTCTTGCCTTCCTTTGACCTTTATTTTTTATCCCACCCAATACCACTTCACCACTTTCCTTGCCTCAAGCTGATTTTTTTTTTATGGTACTGGAGTTTGAACTCTGAGCCCTGAGCTTACAAGGCAGGTGTTTTACCACTTGAGTCATGCACACAGCTTTTTTTTACCTTGCTTACTTTTGAGATAGAGGCCTTGCTTTTTGTCCTAGCCAACCTGGACCACATCCTCCTGTTTATGCATCTTGCTGTAGCTGGTGGCACATGCTACCACATCCAGCTTTTTCTGTTCAGATGAAATCTCTTGATTTTTTTTTTTTTTTTTTGGTCCATACTGGGGCTTGAACTCAGAGCCTTAAAATTCTTAATAAGCTCGTTTGCACACGGCTGTTGCCCTATCACTTGAACCATGCCTTCACTTCTAGCTTTTTGCTAGTTATTTGGAGATGAGTCTGAAGGATTCGTCTGCCCAGGCTGGTTCCACTTCTCAGATCTTAGCTTCCTGAGTGGTAAGGATTACAGGTGTGAGCCAGCAATAGAAGTGTCATGAAGGTTTTGCCCATATCTTCAAATCTCAGCTTTCCAAGTGGCTGGGATTCCAGGCATGTACCACTGCACCCATCTTAGCTGAATTAACTGAACAAATCCAAGACATTATTTTGTCCTTTGTTTGTTTTGAGGTATTAGAGATGGAGCTTACTTAGGGCCTCAGGCTTGTTCATATCCCCAGTTTGTGTATGTGTGCTGGTCCTGGGGCTTGAACTCGGGCTTAAGCGCTGTCCCTGAATTTTTTCGCTCAAGGCTGTCACTCTACCACTTGAGCCATAGTTCCACTTCTCACTTTGTGATGGTTATTTGGAAATAAGAGTCCCACTAACTTTCCTGCCTTCGCTGACTTCAAATTTCAGTCCTCAGATCTCCGCTTTCTGAGTAGCTAGGATTACGGGCATAAGCCACCAGCACGTGGCTAGTATAATTATTTCTAACAATTGCCAAACAGAAATTTATTACTAAGAAGCAGTTTGAACATTTGTCTTTGGTTTAGTTTGTGCTACCAGTTGGTAGAAGCAGTTCATTTATGTCATGTTGCTTTCTGTTTTAGAGATTGCTTTTTAATTGTGTTTTCTATTTGTATAAAATAGATTGTGCTACAGTCAAGTATACAAAACAAGGCATGCTTGGCTCCTCTGTCTTTTGCCTTTGCCCTAGTTTTGGCCTATTCTTTTCCTGTGTCTTTAGTGCTATAATCAAATGTGTGGTATGTTTATATCTTATCTCCGTAGACAAGTGTCTCCATTCTGCCCACTCTTCCACTTAATTGTTTTATTCAGTTAACAACTAATTAGATTATTCCATCATGATAGTTATATATAGACCCTGTATTTCTTTCCACAGTGCAATGTGTCACTATATTAGGGAACTCTTTTCTTGCTTTCTTTCTGACAGGATCTTGCATTATAACCTCAACTTTCTAATCCTCCCACCTCAATCTCCTGAGGGCTAGGGTTACAAATGTACACCACCAAGCCCACACTAGGGAATTGATTTATGGAGAGACTAAATTACACAGTGTAAGGAATCTTCATTTGTTGCAGTCTGAATAGGACAATACTATACTAGGTAAAGAGAACAAATAGCTACCAAAGTAAGGAAAGAGCAACTCAGAGGGTTACAGGAATCTCAAGATAATGGCTTCGGTTTGCTTCTTGAAGCAGTTAGGGTTTAATTGAATGGGCCCTAAGGGTAGACAGGATTTGGAAGTATGGGGGAAAAGGATGTTTCAGGCGTGGGGTACATGGTGGGAACAGAAGCGTAGACTCTAGAAATGAACGAGCGATTTGGGAGATATTTATTCATTTGTTTATTGTGCCAGTCCTGGGGTTTGAACTCAAAGCCTCGTGCGCTCACTTGGCTTTTTAACTCAAGGCTGGCACACAACTACTTGAGCAACACCTCCTGTTTGGGCTTTTTGCTAGTTAATTGGAGGTAAATGTCTCATGGATTTTTCTATTCCAGCTGGCTTCCAACTTTGATCCTCCAGATCTCAGCCTCCTGAGTAGCTAGGATTACAGGCATGAGCCACCAGCAGCCAGCTTGAGATTTGGGAGATTTTAAATATGCCAATAGGTGTTGAGCAGAAAGGTTACATAAGAGCAGGTTGAGAAAATGAATCAGGGCTTCCATTTGAGGACAGGCTGGAAAGGTTACTGTGTCCGAAGCATGGCTTCCAACCATTGCTGTGTTTATTCAGAAACCTTCCATGGTTCCCCAGTGGCAGGATTTTGAAGAAGGATAGAATGTTCTGGAGAGCACTACTAGTAGAACAAAATGACTTAAGTGAGATACTGGTAGCAGCCAAAGAAACTTAAGAATTTGGAGATGGGGTAGATAGGACTTTGCCCTTTTCTGGGGGAGGGCAGTGAGAAAAGTCTGATCAGAGATCAGAGATCTCCCTGCATGTGTGCTGGAGTCATGGCTTCAGGGCCCAGCCTAGTGACCTGACAGCTTCCTTTTCTTCTGTGTGGCTGATGAGCCCTCTAGTGGACGCACCTGGTTCTGAGGTTTCTTGTGGGTCAGGAAATGGGAGCCTGGGCTCTGCTCTGTCTACTCCTTACTGTCTTCCTTCCCCGTGTCACCCCACAGGGTATCGCAGGCACAGATGTGGCCAAGGAGGCCTCTGACATCATCCTGACTGATGACAACTTCACCAGCATTGTGAAGGCTGTGATGTGGGGACGGAACGTCTACGACAGCATCTCCAAGTTCCTGCAGTTCCAGCTCACCGTCAACGTGGTGGCCGTCATTGTGGCCTTCACTGGAGCCTGTATCACTCAGGTGAAGGGGGCATGATCTGGGCTGACAGCAGAGGGGCAAGGCAGAGCCTGAGGATTATGGGTAGATGTTCAGTTGTCTACAAGGGTTCCCCAGTAACGTGGGGATACAAGTTCGCTCAACCAAGTCCACTGTGCACATCTGCTTATGTGGAGTGATTAATAATGTACTTGTATTAGTTGAGCATGTTGGTGTCAGCCACAATGATGTGTTACCCATGGTCTTTAAAAGCAAGCTTGCAGTTGGGCTCACGCCTGTAATCCTATGTAAGAGACTATGAGAGGAAGATCGTGGTTCAAAGCCAGCCTGGGCAAACAAATCCAAGAAAATCTATCTTAAACTAATTGGCAAAAAGCTGGCAGTGGAGGTGTGGCTCAAGTGGTAGAACCCCAGCCTTGAGCAAAAAAGCTAAGCCAGAGCACGAAGCCCAGAGTTCAAGCCCCAGTATCAGCACAAAACAAAACAAAAAAAAAGCTAGTTTGCAAAAAGCTAGTTTACCAGTGAGAGACCCAAGCTTGAAGACACTGAGTAATTTTCTCAAGGTCACTGGTGGCCGGATTCAGAGTCTCTGTGGATACCAGGAATGAGAACAAAGCCAGCCAAAGGGAAGGAGGGGCCGGTGAGGGAGGCAGGGTGGCTTCTCAGGGAAGCTTGAAGGACTGATTCTTCTCTCCCACAGGACTCTCCACTGAAAGCTGTGCAGATGTTGTGGGTTAATCTAATTATGGATACATTTGCTTCACTGGCCCTGGCCACAGAGCCCCCTACAGAGTCCTTACTGAGGCGTCGCCCCTATGGCCGAAATAAACCTCTGATCTCTCGCACTATGATGAAGAACATCCTGGGGCATGCCGTCTACCAGCTTACTGCCGTCTTTGTTCTTGTCTTTGCTGGTGAGCCACAGAGGTCAGCCATGCAGTTGGGTTGCTAGTGGAGATGGGACAGAGAATAGCCTGAGGAAAGAAGGTGACATGGGGTTGGTGGAGCCCAGACCAGGCAGAGCAGCCCCACCCAACCCCATCCCGATACCCTGTGCATTCCCACTACACAACGGGTGCACATACCGTCCACCATATCCTTTTGCAAGAAAGTAATTATGAATGGAGAAAACCAAGACACAAAGTTAGATCAATTGAAACCAGGGCTGCAATTTAAAATATTTGATCAGCCGGGCACTGGTGGCTCACACCTGTGAACCTAAATACTCAGGAGATTGGGATCTGAGGGCCCAGGTTCAAAGCCAGCCTAGGCAGGAAAGTCCATGAAACTCCAATTAACCACCAAAAAACCGGAAGTGGAACTATAGCTCAAGAGTAGAATGCTAGCCTTGAACTAAAAAGTGCCCAGGCCCTGAGTTTAAGCCCTAGGTCTGGCATAAAATAATAATAATATCCATAAGCCATTGACATGGCTATCTCCACACATTCTAAAATTAACCTGAAGACAGGTGCTGGTGGCTCACACCTGTAATCCTAGCTATTTGGGAGGCTGAGATCTGAGGATCGTGATGGCAAGCTAGCCAAGGCAGAAAAGCCCCCATGAAAGTCTTCTCTCTAATTAACCACCCAAAAACCAAAAGTGGTGGTGGCTCAAGTGGTAGAGTGCCAGCCTTGAGTACAAAGAGGCTCAGGGTCAGCGCCCAGGCCCTGAGTTTAAGCCCCACAATGGAAAAAATAAAATAAACCTGAATCTTAATTGAGGCCACGGTGGCCCCTCCATGCTTGTCCTCCCTATCAGGCGAGAAGCTGTTTGACGTGGACAGTGGGAGAAAGGCACCTCTCCACTCGCCCCCCAGCCAACACTATACCATCGTCTTCAACACCTTCGTGCTGATGCAGCTCTTCAATGAAATCAATTCCCGGAAGATCCACGGGGAAAAGAACGTCTTTGCAGGCATCCACCGAAATGCCATCTTCTGCTCTGTAGTCTTAGGCACGTTCATCGCCCAGGTGAGAGGCCATCCACAGTTGCGGAAAGAGGTCTGAAAGATGCAAGCCCTTAGCTGGAGGCCAGGATTCCCTAAGCACTCAGGAAAACGAGTACACGAATAAGGGGGATTGAAGCTAGGGTTCCTTGAGCCCAGGACAACACCTAGTCCCTGAGTTCAAGCCCAGGATCGACCAAAAGACTCCATCTGTCCATCTGTCTACAAAGACCGGATCTGTTTCCCCTTAACTCCTTCAAGATTGCTTCTTTCCAGTGCTTCAGCAAGCAAATCAGTAACTGTACCACAAGGACCCCTGGGCCAAAAGCCACGTCTGGAGAGCAAATTGCTTTTTTTCTCTGTGGTAGGTTTTCATCGTGGAATTTGGGGGTAAGCCCTTCAGCTGTACAAAGCTCAACCTGATGCAGTGGTTGTGGTGTCTGTTCATCGGGATTGGAGAGCTTCTGTGGGGGCAGGTGAGTATGGCATGCCCTCCAGTGCACTCGCCCCGCCCACAGAGCTGTCTTCCCCCACCTTCCCTCCCAAGTTTCCAAGTTAGCTCCAATTCATGGAACCCTTCAATGGTTAATCACCACCTGTCCCTTAAGACACTCAGGTCTCTTCTGCTCCTACCTGCTGGTGTCTCTTGAGACAGACTCCAATTTTTCAACCCATTTTTTCTAAAAACCAAGGAATCTTATTCTAATGGAACAGCAGTATGGCCACAGTACAAACATAATTCAGGGCTCCCCAACCTCATGCCGGGTTACTGGAGCGGAATATGTGATACTCACCTGAGATAAATTTAGATTTTCAAGGCCTTGGGAGAAGTAGAATGGCACATGGTTCTGAGCATGGGCTGAGAGAATGGCTGAGTTCAATCCCGGTTCTCCTGCTCACAAGCTAGATCACTGTGGGCAAGTTACTTAAACACTCTGCCTCAGTGTTCCAACTTAGGAAAACTGGGCTGTTGTGAGCTACTTACTACCTGCTGGTACCAGGTACTTGGTGGCTATTAATAGTAGTTCTTAGACTCTCAAGTGTGGTAAGAGTTTCATTCCTTTTCTAACGCCATCCTCACTCAGCTCTGACCAGGCTGTGCTTCTCTTTGTAAACCCCATATCTCAGCTAATAACCCTGTAGTGCCCTGCCACCTGGGGCATAGAGGCTGCACCTTAACTAGTCTCCAAGGTCCCTCCCTGGGCCACAGGGCTTCCCCGAGGCTAGCTCCTGAAGCCTTCCTCATTACTCTCATTCTCTGTGCCCAGCCCACTTCGTCCTCCCTGGTCTGCTAGCTAAAGTTTGATACCCAGGGGGTCCTTAAAGCAGTTTTACCCCTGCTCTTGCTTCACCTTCTGTTTGAGGCTCTCTCCTGAGAGCCCGGATGCCAGGTAGCAGCCATTGCTATGCGTCACCACACATCCCAGAGCACATGGCTCCCATTCCAAATCAGTTTTTGTGGGCTCTACCTTGGCCTGCCTGGGAAGTCCCTCTGTCCCCTCTGAGCTCTGTCATAAAGCACACACTTATAAAGTGCTGGCTGATGGATCCCAGTGATACATTTTGAATTGCAAGTGCAGCATAGCACGCCACGTGTTCTGATAATAGCCAGACACCCATTCCCTCATGGTCTGTGCCACCCACCTCCTTACCCAAGCCCAAGGAAACTTCCCATCTTTTCATCCATTCATGTCATCAACAGGCCAGCTCCTTTCTCCTAACCTACTCACGTGCAGTAGGACCATCTTCTTCCCAGATTTGCCTCCTCCTCCCCCAGTCCTGGTCCTGACTGTGCCCTTCCTGCTCTATGCCCTGCTTCATGGTTCTGTTTCCCTTAAAAGACGACATGCCTGACACTGGTGGCTCACACATATAATCCTAGTTACTCAGGAAGCTGAGATCTGAGGATCCTGGTTCAAAGCCAGCCTGGGCAGGAAAGACTCTGATTAACTCCCAAAAAGCTGGAAATGGAGCTGTGGCTCAAGTGGTAGAGCCTTAGGCTTGAATACAAAAGCCCTGAATTCAAGCCCCAGAACTGGCACACACACACAAAAAAGTGCACTGGAAAGGAAGAACTGAAGCAGGAAGAGGAAGTATCTATCCAGACAGGTGTTATAAGCAAGTCTCTTCCGTGCATCCATAAATATGAGCTGGGCAGCTGGGGCACTTGCTGATTGGCTCCTGAACACACCAGTGCTTTTCCTGCTTCTCTCTGGCGGGAAGGGTGGCAGGCAAGGGCATTTCTCTAGGCTCTGACTATGACATTCACACCAGCTGATAGCTCTTCTCCCCCAATTCTGGTGCACCCTGTTTACTTAGGTCATCTCTGCCATACCTACCAAGTCTCTGAAGTTCCTGAAGGAGGCCGGCCATGGTATTTCCAATGATGAGATCTCCAAGGATACAGAGGGCCTCGAAGAGATTGATCTCGCAGAGATGGAGCTACGCCGTGGCCAGGTCCTCTGGTTCCGGGGCTTGAGCCGTATCCAGACTCAGGTACTAAGTTGTTGGCCTGGCTTCACCTTCTGCAGAGGTGCAGAAGGCAGCAGGTCTTGGTGCCCTGCATCTCTTCCCTTCCTTAGGCTCACCACTAAAGGCAGCCCTCTATCCTAAGATTCGGACAACAGGGGCAGGGGTGTGTGCGTGGGTTCCTCTTGAGACAGTAGACCCAGCCTTGGGCCACTGTTAGCAGAGTCCTTCTGCTGGCTGAGCAAGCTTCCCACTAGCCCTAAAGGAATAGAGCTGAGTGTAGTGACACATACCTGTAATGCCAGCACTTGGGAGACTGAGACAGAAGAATTATGCATTTGAGGCCAGCCTAGACTAGGGAACTAGACCCTGTCTCGAAGAGGGAAAAGAAAAGGAGTAGACAGCAGACAGCATCCCTCTGGCAATAGCCCCAGTAGTCACTTCTGTGACTGGCTGTGCTGCTGTCATGGTAACACATGCTCTTGGGAGGACTCCTGTAACAGACATGCACCCTCTTACAGTTTAAAGCTGTGATGGGGAATCTGATGGTTAAGTGTATAAAAACAACAGCAGTCTCTCGATGCCTGAGTATCCTTGACATCATTCAGACTTGCTTCCTGACATAGAAGAAGCTATCACTTCTCCAGACCATCTTGTACTTTCTGAACTGGGGTAGAAGGAACTCTTAAGTCCTCACCTGTAGCCTGGCCTTATCCCTGCAGTAACTTTTTCCCCCTTTCCATGCATGCATCCTTTGTGGCTCCCTTCTGGGTGGATGGGCTGGCCTAGGCCTTGCTACTTCTCTTCCCCTGCTCCCACCCCATGCTCCTTTACTGTTGTAGTCCCGGGCTCCCCATCTTAAGGAACTGTCCATTCTAAGATCTCAAAGGTTTGCTAAAAGAGCCCAGGCTTATTTCTTTTCTAATTGGCTGGTGATCCCCCAAAAATGTTCCACTCCCCAAAACTGGTCTTGCAAATGGTTTTTTTTTTTAATTCTCTAGCATGACAAGTGCAGTGACTATTCCAAACCACGCACCTAGTAAGAACTCACCTCCCATGGGCAACACAATAGGTGGGAAGATGGGAGAAGCATGGGGCTCCTTCCCGTCCTGAGTTCCTCCTCCTAGGAGACCTGCACCAGCTGCCTCGTGGTGTCAAGATTTGCCCCCCACCCACCTGCCAGGCCTCTGAGTCCATCAGGTGCCCCCAGAAGCTGGTGCTTAGCTTCTGTCTCTAAAGCCCCAGTGCTTTCCCTTGGGTCTGCTCTTTTCCAAATAACCTCTTTGCTTTTCTTTCCTTCAGGATCATCTGCGTCCTCTTCCTCTTTTTTTTTTTTTTTCCTAGTCAGGTTCCCCACGTTCCATTCCAGAGCCTCCTCATTCCTATACCAGTGTCCTCTCCATGGGGGCAGAGGTTTATGGGTCTTCTTCCCCTCCACTGCCAACTTCCATCTCCTCCACTGTTCTCTGTGCTCTCATTGCCTGCACAGCTTTACGCAGTCGACCTTTCCCCACTGAAGCCTGAGGCAGCTGAACTAGAACAGCAGTGAACTCAGGTATCAAAGGCAACCTGTTAAAGAATGCCACTGGCCAAATCGGTGCCGTTCTACTGGGCACCTGACCCTGTGAGCTGAGGAGGCTGAGCGTGCTCATGAGCACCCTGGACCCCTGGATCTCTTTTGATGCGTTCCTCATTGCTTAGGGGTCAGGGATTGCATTGAGGCCCAGATCATAGCCATTGTTGAAAAAAATTGGAATGAATTGCCTGTCTCTGGTAAGAATATTGGTATAGCCACTCCCCACCACCATCCCACAAAACTCTACCTGCCAGCGTCCTCCTGTCAAACCTGTCAGATCTCAGGATCTCCCATGCATAGTGCTGCAGTACCCTGGCCTTCTCTATCTAATGGGCCTGGCTGTGGATTCCTGCACTCCACTTTAGCTGGAGAAAACGTATCTCAGAGAGACCCCTAGCAAAGGGCGAGCTAAGTGCCTCATATCCTCAGCCCTTTCTACCAGGGCCACAGCACCCAGGCCACTCCACTGCCTCTGCTTTCCTTTAAACACGTTATTTTTCTAGGAAATCTGGAAACAAATGTATAGTTAATTGAGTTGAAATTCAATCATATGAATTTTGCCCTTCAGTATCTCAGATTACATGCCTTTTTTAACTTTTTCTTTTGGTGCTGGTACTGAGGCTTGAACTCAGGGCCTGGGTGCTGTCCCTGAGCTTTTTTGCTCAAGGCCAGTCCTCTACCACTTGAACCTACAGCTTTTTGGTAGTTCACTGGTGATAAGAATCTCACAAACTTTCCTGCCTGGCCTGGCTCTGAACCCTAATCCTCATATCTCAACCTCCTGAATCACTAGGATTACAGTCATGAGCCACCAGCACCCAGCACATGCTTTATTTTTAAGAGTACAGGTCAATCGGGCTGGGAAAGTGGCTCAGTGGTAGAGCACTTGTCTTGAATGCATGAGGCCCTGGGTTCTATTCCTCAGCACCACATAAGCAAAAAGAAAAAAAAGCCAGAAGTGGTGCTATGGCTCAAGTGCTAGCGCGCTAGCCTTGAGCTGAAGAGCTGAGGGACAGTGCCCAGACCCAGAGTTCAGGCCCACAACTGGACCCCCAAAATAAAAAGAGTACAGTCAAAGCAATGGATAAGCTGCTGGTCTTTGTCTAGCTATTTGGAAGATAGGATTTTAAATTCTCAAGATCCTTGGATACCTGTGTACCTCAGATATCCACCCAGGATTTGAGGAGAGGGAATACTAGATTGTGGCTGAGCACTTGAGGTCCACGGCGAATTGTTCCTTAAAGGGAGCGCGATACACAATTCATGTTCCCTTCCACACTCCCCAGTTGTGGATGAGGGACTCTGCTGTTTTCCATCCCCTTTACCAGCCCTCCAGACATTGCCTGCCTCTTCCTTCCCCTCTCCTCTCTGACTGTGGAGCAAAGATGTCTCACCCTCTGGTTCTTTGCAGATCGAAGTAATTAACACATTCCAGACGGGAGCCACTTTTAAGGGCGTCATAAAGCGACAGACCATGGGTCCTAGCTCGTCCTATGCAGCAGCTGGACCCGCCAAACCTTCCCCCACCACCTCTGCTGCTGTCTCGGCTCCCATGGGCAGTGAGTGATAGTCCATTGTGCTGCATGATTTGCTAGAATGACCACAAGAGAGCACGTGGCATCCACTTTGTAGTTACCTTTTCTTTTGATTTTTTTCTCTTCAGTCTTTGGACTTAAGGGAAGAAAAGCCACAAATTCAACTTCTAAAATCAGGACATATTGCCTTGATTATTTTTTTTCATGTTGTAAAGCTACTAAACCTTCACCATGGTAAATTCAACCATCCTGTTTCCTAAATGTTCCTCTGCATTGCTTATTTCTTCCCTTTGAGCTTTTGTTGTTGTTGCTTGCTTTTCATTTTCATTCTTTTCTTTTTGGGTTTTGGCTTTTGCTTTTTTGTTGTTCTTGTTTTGTTTCTTTTTTCTCCCCTGCTCTTGCTCCTCTGAATCTCAACTATCTCCTAAGCTTAGATGTAAGATTAGGACAAATAGCAACCCAGAGACTCTACCTGGAGCAAGTTTGGGAACTCCTGAAGAAAGGTAGTAGGGACCTACTCTGCACTGGCCATGGGACTTAGCCTAATTGAATCCATGTTGAATTTGCTCAGTAATAACAATCCCTCCAACCAGCCCTGATGTCAATAAAAGTTGTATCTCAAAGGTAGAGAAATGAGCATCCATGTTATCCTACTCTCAGGGACTTTCAACCAGATTGTGGTTTAGGAATTAATTAGGGGTTGGAGGCATGGCTAAGGTGGTAGAGTGCCAGCCAGTAAGCAAAAGTGTCAGATACTAAGTTCAAGTCTTATTCTCAGCCCCCCCCCCCCCAAAAAAGAAATAATTCACATATGGGAATCGGCACTCTATGAAAAGTTCAAAATCAACTTTTCTTTTTTATTTACTAAAAGTTTTAAAACTGAGCAGGATAGTTGTATGTCTACAATCCCAGGACTTGGGAGGCTGAGGCAGGAGAATCAAGAATTCGAGGTGACTATACAACAAGACCCCATCTCAAAAGAAAGAAAAATTAAGGAATTTAAGAGCAACCCATTTTGTTCCTCCTCTGCTGTAGTTTATTTCACCAACCAGGCCTTTATTTAACTCTGTGTGTGTGTGTGTCTGTATGTGCGCGCGCACTTGCGCGTACACATGCGCATGCAGGCCTGGCGTGGGTGCTACCCCTAAGCTTTTGCACTCAAGACTAGCACTCTGCCACTTGAGCCACAACTCTACTTTGGCTTTCTGGTGGTTTTTTACTTGGAGATAAGAATCTCATAGACTTCCCTGCCCCAGCTGACTTAAAACCATGGTCCTCAAATCTCAGCCTCCTGAGTAGGTAGGGTTACAGGTGTGAGACACAGTGATGCCCAGCCCAACCAGCACTTTATATCATATCTCACATGTAACATTTTAGAAACCCCTTCCTTGCCAGTCTTTCAGTGGGAATACTCTCAACTTAGGTCCTGGCACTCATTATAGGTTGTTAGACCCTTGCTAGCACCTTGCTCTTCCTGGCCTTTTTACCTTTCCCAAATGGGAGACATTGAGGCAGCCACTAAGGTATCTGATGAGGAAGGAGTTCCACTGTATTGAATATATTGTGATTCTTAAGGTTAATACTTAATGTTTAATCTATCCTCTTCTGCCCCAGGCCTGGGACAGAGAAAAGAAAGAACAGATACACTGCTTGTGGTTCACATGATTACAAACTGGGAAGAATGACCAGAGTTAGATTTGTTGGTTGGTTTTCTTTCTAGCCAGTGACAAACATTCTTGTGGGTGGTGTAGGGTCTTGGCATTCATGAAGACATTATGTCTTTAGGTTCAAAGTCAGTCAAAGCCACGGCCCCCTCATTGTAGTCCTTCCAGATTCCTCATTTAATTCCTTTTTTCTCCTAGTTCTGCCATCCCCTTCTACTGGGCTTCTACCTTTGCTCTGTCATCCCTCTCGGGCAGGAGGGGGAGGCTTAGTGTCACGTTTCCCAGTGATTAGATGGTAGAAGGCAACTAAGCAGGCCACAGAGGCCAGTAGCTCTTTCAAAGGGGCTTGAAGAGGGTATCCTCTTCAAAGTCTACACGATGGGGAGAGAGACAGGCCAAAGTCTACACTTACCTGGAGATCCTAGGGATTGTAATCAGGAGTTTTCAAAGCCTTTGTTCCCATTCTAGAGCTCCAGATGGATTCACATGTGTGTCTGTCTTCGTTAGGTAATTGCTGAGCTTTTCCTCTGGAGGGAAACCCTAATCCATCTTCTCTTCCCCTGGCTTCTGAAAAGGGAACCCACCAACACGACTGAGTCCCAGCTGGGGAAAGTAAATTCATCAGACCACTTGCTCAGCTCCCCCAGAGTGGTCTTTGCACTCATTCCTATCCTGGTACTTCAGGAGGCATGAGCCCCAGGCTCATGGCCCAAAGGTTTTGCAAAACAGTGTTGTGGGAGAGCAGGACTTATTGGCTGAATGGATGGCAAACGAGGCTGTCCCCACACTGCTTCAGTAGCCAGGCCCTGTGCCCGCCCACCGCTCACAACAGACCCCCTGCTGCCAGAAGGGCTGCTGGTAATACCTTATGTGATTGCTCATCAACATGTATTCTCTGAGCCCGTGCGGGTGCTGAGAAACATTCTAGCACAGCCCCTCATGCCCTCCGCCCCTCCTCTTCCTTGTCTCCATCCCTAGCCCACTGACTCCTCTTCACTTGGCCTTCCCTTACAGGTGACTGGCTCTCCCCTGGACTCCAGAGTCCTGCAGTCTAGCTGAATGATTGATTGTTCTTTGCCTGCCCCCAAGTTTTCCCTATGTTCTGTACCTTCCTGTCCCTCAGTTCACCTTTATTTCATAACTGTCTGATTGGTCACCCCGACAGGTAAAAGAAAAAGCCAGCAAGCAGGGTTCCCGAACCTCACTCCAACCTAATGTTCAAAAGCTGTTGTTATCCTGGATTTCACATATAATTATTTCAACTGAGTATTCAGTTGCTTAAAAAAAAAAAAAAAAGGTAAACCAGGCACTGGTGGCTCACGCCTGTAATCCTAGCTACTCAGAAGGCTGAGATCTGAGGATCTCATTTCAAAGCCAGCCTAGGCAGGAAAGTCCGTGAGACTCTTATCTCCAGTTAACCACCAGAATACTGGAAGTGTCACTGTAGATCAAGTGGTAGAACTGAAGAGCTGAGGGACAGCACCCAGGCCCAGAGTTCAAGTCCCATGACCAACAAAAATAAAATAAAATAAAAGCAGGAAGTTTAAAAATCATCGAGAGGGGCTGGGACTGTAGCTTAGTGATAGAGTGCTTGCCTAACATGCATGAAGCCTAGGGTACAATTACTTAGCACTACATAAACAGAAAAGGCTGGAAGTGACACTGTGGCTCAAGTGGTAGAGTTCTAGCCTTGAGCACAGAGAGGCTCAGGGACAGAGCCCAGACCCTGAGTTCAAGCCCCAGGACAAGCCAAACAAAAAAAAATTCCCAAGATAGAAAGAAGCCAGTGAAGAGCAAGTGAGCAGGTGCTGGCTGTCTCTAGGAGTCATTAGAAATTGTATCATCTAAAAGTATCTGAAAAACACAGACTGTAATCACTCCTACAAGGATGGGTGGGCTTTGAACTTCTCCCTTGACCAGTGACTGGGTCTGTACCAGCACTAAGGGAGAAGGCCTCGAGTTCAGACTCATTCAGTCACCTTGCCTCTCTATGAGATGTGATGCCCGTCACCAGAATTTGGGACCTTGCAAGCGTTAGAGAGTCTCCATTCCACCCAATGATCGCACCTAAATCTGGAGCACAGGCTGTGTGATGGGTAAACCCACCATCTGAGCGTCAATAGGCGTCACAAGAAGGTGGGAAAGTGGTTCCGTTTCACATGGTGAGGGTGAGCCAGGTTTGTCAAGGTGTTAAGCTGATACAGTTGAGTGCTGAGGAGGCCTTTTCCTTCTAAAGAACCCTCAGTCCTGGGTAGGTATGCAGCCTGGAAGAGAGAGGGAAGGAACACCTGAGCCTGCAGAGGCCCAGCCTTCCCCAGAGAAGATGGGCGGCCATCCTGCTGTGTAGTGTCTCCATCCACAGTGGTGGTGCCCTGCCGACACAGGAACCTCACCCTGTGAGTTAGCCTCACTTCTACTGTGCTCTACTACTTCCTTTGTTTAAACAACACAGGAATGAAAGAGGGGTCCTGCCCCAACATCCATCCCCCTGTACCTTTCTGTCCTCCTCCTCATTTGTTTTCTGAGGGAAGGAGACTTTTTTAGACAAGACTAGCAGTTCCCACCTCCCTCAATCTCTTTTAAACTAGCCTACAACCACTTCCCTTTCCCTGGGCTCCCTCTCCGGTGTCCAGGGCTCCACCTCCCTCTTCCTCTCCTTTCTCACCTTCCTTTTCTCACTTCTCCCAGTGTAGCTTCTAAGCCACCGTCCAGAAAGACCTACAGTTCAGAAAAGCCAAACTCCCAAATGAGCTGCGGATAAACAACAGCTGCTCTCAGCAATCCATCATTAGTTTTTGTTTTTCTCTTGACTCTCAAATTATTTATTAATCCCTTCCTTTTGGGCTCACAGAATAAGGACTTTGGTGCAGGGCAAAGCATATCCCTTTACCCAATGAACCTATAAAACTGTAGTTTCTTCCCCTTCCCCCTCTCCATCTATCCCATCAGAAAGAACACTTGTTTGTAGCCTGGCTCCCAGACTAGGTTTTTCTCTTGGTTCCTTACTTTCCCTCCTGCATATAAGACCATGCTCCTGTTCACAGTATGGAAATAGCTGGAGCAGGCAGCTGGTGTGGGGCACCGTGGCAGTACAACAGAGCCACAGATATGCCCAGGAGCCATGAGAGCCAGGTGCTCCTTGTGAGCAAGGGAAGCCATCTTTTCCACACCTTTATTGATTTGGTCCACCTTTTCTGGGGGGAAGACATAGAGTGGCGTTCTGCTTCCTTTGAGAGGAGAGGACATGGTGGAGGTTTGGGATATAAATATATGCATGACTTCTGGCTGAAGAGGCCAGTTATTACGTTGAATAGTTGTTGGTTTTGTTTACTTAATTTCCTGCATGCTGCTGAATGAAGATTGGTCCGTCTGCCTGGCTGCACAAATATCTCTGGTCACATGCCACCCATTGTGTATTATGTGAAGACTGGTAGCTCTTAGCTCTTGGAGAGTTTTACGCGGTTCACAAAACTGTTAGTGTGTCATTTTTCTACTCCACATGCACAGAATGTTTGGCCTCGGCATAGAAAGCCACCATGCGAATCCTTTGTTAAGTTTGGCTATTAATTTGCACTCAGTTCCAATGCATCCTGCCCTCTTATCCAAAAGAACTAATGAATCCCATTGGTTTCTGGTTTCTTTTAAGAGTGCATTGTGGGGGGAGGAGGAAGGAATGCTAACTTTGCTTTGGGTTTTCTACTTTTTTGTGAATGTAACCATTGAGACATTCTCGTTGTGTGCCATCATTACTCACCTGCCCTTTTGCTTGAGATTTGAGCTGTGTACTGTTGCCGGTGCCCCGTGACTGCTTCTGACGTGTTTGGTTGGGGTTGTGTGGAGCAATTACGTTTTACAGTTTGGGTTTTATTTCTCTCCTCACACCACTCCTTCCTTGTTCTGCTGGCCAGTTCTCACCTCCTTGTTTTCTTATCATCCTTTTCTTCTCCGGCTATAGATCAGAGTGGTCAAAGTATTCCATAATTCCGTCCACGAACTCATTAAGAAACCTAAGAGCCAAGTGTCCATCCACAACTTCATGAGCACCCCTGAATTCTCCATAGATGAGGAGGCACCACAAACACCATTCCTGGAGAACCAACAGGAAGAAGATGCTGAAAAGGGTTCGAAGAGTGGGACCAGGGTGCTCCTGCTGGACGGCGAGGCCTCTCCAAATGCTAACAAAAACAACAATGCCACCGTGGCCTCCCCTTTGGGCAGCCCTCTCCCAAGCCTGGAGACATCCGTCTGAGCTTTTCACCCTCCGACTCCCATCCCTGCTTGTTCTCTAAGTTCCTTTGCATCCATCCCATCGATGATGGTGGTGATGGGACTTGTCATGTCAGCTGCTCCCGAGTGTGAGAAAAATCCCTCACCTGACCACAAAGAACAAGCGCACACACCCATAAGGATTTCAACTGCAATTTGAGTTGGGGTTTGTAGCAGGACCCAGTCAAACCCCCGGCAGGTAATGGTAGAAGCCACCTCCTTTGGTGAATTGTCATTTTTAAAGAAGTAACAGCAGTCCTCCTGGCACCTCCCCAACCTAAATATCCATGGTGTTTCTACCTACATCACCAGCTCCTGACATCTGGAAGTGATCCTAAAAGTCTCTGTTATTTACAAGCTAAATTGAGAGTGACAGATATCCACAAGTGAAATGTGTCTGGGCAGAGATGGAATGTATAAAATCAGCCAGTAGAGTGATTGTAGTTAAGGTATTTTGTTTCCATGTTGAAAACTTACACCTGAAGGTCTCTAGTTATTTCTACCCTTTCTAACTCAGCCTCTCACTTTTTTCCAAGGTTCTGTTGGTCTGGTGTGACCCTTCCCTCCACTCACTCTGTTCTTTCTTTGTTGCTTTCTTTCTTGTTCTTCTTTTTAAGTTGTGAAAATTAAGAGAATGAATGGGACGTGGATGGATGTGAGTCAACGTTCATCCCCCCTGGCTCTTATGATCCCTTGGATTAGCTCTAGAGGTCGACCGGTCTCTCTGTTCAAAGGCAAAGTTCCCAGTAGGGCCGCAGGAGTTCCCTCTTGTTACCAGGTTGGCTTCTAATTCTAAACCGTCATTACATGAGCTGCTGGAGAGATCAGCCTTGACTGTGGGGCTTGCGAGTGTGTGATCAGTAGTTTTTATTACCGTCGGTCTGAGTTGGAAGGAGAGCTGCCTCCTCACTGCTCTTGGGGACTTGGGGCCAGACGCTGGCAGGCCGTCCAGGCAGGGCTCCCATAGAGCCCACCATTTCTTTCAAAGCCATCTGCCACAGTTCTTCACAGAACCTGATTCTTGGGGGAGCAAGTAATTGAGAAACCTTGGGTAGAGCAAGAGAGCTATTCTGACAGGATCTGAGCAGACCTCCCTGCAGACCCCAGAAACCCTGAGCCTGGGTGCCTGTGTACCAGCTCCCACCTTCCCCCCACTTTTCCTCATTCTCCTCTTCACTGTGTCCATTGACATCTTCATGAGAACACTTCCAACCTCCCAAAGATCCTCTGGTTTTGGAAATACATACCCAAAGGGAGAGGCTCTGGTGACATTGTGCTGACCTCAGGCAAACCGACCCCCTCTCCTCCCTGAGCTCACATGCCTCAGTCTGGCCGCTGCCCAGGAAAACCCTGTGCCTTCTTGCCCTGAACACGGCCCAGCGCATCCCCTGCCCACCTGCCTCGCAGGAGTTGACTTTGCCAGGAGGCTTTTTAAGTGTTCCTTACTCTGGGACAAGGTGGAACCCCGTTCACCTTCACAGGAGTACCAGTTTGGGTTTGATTTTTTTTTTTCAATCCCACTGATGCTATTCGAATGAAGCTGTCCTGTCCCCAAGTCCCATCTCCCATGAGATCAGTGAGGCACATCCCTTCCCCCCCCCACCCCAACCCCCACTGTCCTGAGCAGTGGCAGTGAGAAGAGGGCACTGGAGCCTCCCAACTACCACTTTTCTATTTGGGAGGGGAAGGTGACCTGGAGCCTGTCTACTCCAACCCTTTTTACTGCCCCTTCCTTCTTGCTTCCTCTCACCTGAGTCGTTCAAGGAGGGAGGAGTCAAGAAATGTACCCATCACTCCGACATCCATCGGTGAGAAACAGGAAACCCGATGTGATTTCATTTTTGTCAGGGTCACCTGCTCCAACAGTGTCTCTGTCTTAAACACTCATGGTGGGGGAGAGGGGAGAGCAGCTCACCCAGGCATCCAGTGTTCCCATGTGTATTAAGTACATTGGAGGATTTAGTTCTGTCAAGTCTTTTATTACCTCAGATCATTTAAAGAAAAACAAAAGCAAGCCAATAGCAAGCTTCCAAGGCTGTTCTACCATTTCTGCTCCCAAAATACCCTCGCAGAGCCTGCTGGGCTACTTCTCACAGCTTGTGTCTACTTTTTTAAAGTCAACCGTTTCGTGTGTGTGTGTGTGTGTGTGTGTGTGTGTGTGTGTGTGTGTGTGTGTGTGTGTGTGTGTCCTAGTTTCCATAGTAAGAAATAATATAGAAATATTATGCAAAAACATAGTTTTCTTTAGCTCAGAAACTGATATTTTTGAGTCAGTCATATGTATTTTGTTTAAAGGATTTAGAATAAAGTACTGTCATTGTGTACCACATAGCCTTGTGGTAGGGAGCGTTGGATATGAGAGATGACTTTTGTTAGTATATTCGTAATTGGTTTAAAAGCCAATAGACCACACTTCTTTTCTCCAAACAGCCATCTTTATACTTAGGGGGAAAATTTGTTGGGTTCTAGACTTTTTTAATAGAAATTTTGTTGCTATGGGGTTGAGTCCATTTTGTTTCTGTGCATATGGTTTTTTAATACATAGTTCGGTAGTGTTGTTGTTGTTGTTTTTCTATTCAGTGTCACTAGCAGTAAGTGAATATGGCATAAGTTAAATAACGCTTTTCCCCAAAATGGTGCTTTGGATTTGTAAAGGGTCCAATGGGAGAGGTGGAGGAAATATCCTAGATTCCTTTCTTGATTAACCTAGAGAAAAAAAAAAAACAAAACAGGAAGTGAATGACTGGTAGGAAGGAAAACAAGGAAGGACAAAGTTGACCGAAGTCAAGAACTGGATGTGTTGTCCCAACACATGGGTATCCAGGCTTTTTGGTAAACAGTGGTTAGTATCAGGGGCCTTGTGTTTAGATGGGTGTTTCTTAAACAGCTGGCTGGCAGACTGGTACAAATGACATTGTGGATCTTCAAGGATACTCTGACTTGGAATTTGCATTTCTTTTTTATGGTTCTTTCACTTCCTGTTCCCCCTAGACTTTTCCATTCGTGAGTCTTTGTGCAAGAGTCTGATCTGTGACTGCTTCCCTCCCCTAGAATGATTTTGTGCAATATATTAGATGTAAGACAGAGCTCCATGTGGGGGGGGAGATACAATGGCTGATTCCAGTCCTAGGTGATAATCTCAGGACTAGGTCCTTCCCTTAGGTGTCCTCCAAAATGATTCCCCAGCCCCATTGGGGCTGACCACCTAGAGGCGCCTCTGGGCACTGTGGGCTCTTCAAAGTTTGGGTTTCCTCTTCCCTTCCAGCTTCCGAGGGAAATTTGCACAGATAAAGCCGAGTGAGTTACTTCACTGCCGAAAACTCAGAGGGGCCCAAACCCTCTTAAGGCAGCCCTCTCTTTCCTGCTTCCCTTGCCTTATGACCCAAGCCACCCATGGTACCATCCCAGTGTGCACGCACGATTGTTCACCTCTCCTGTCTCGGTTCCACCCCACTGCACCAGTGATGGTGGGCACTTATAAATAGCCGCTGTTATTCTTAAGCCATTCCAGCCTCTTCCTCAGAATAGACCAGACCTCCTCCACTTAATTCAGTGCCAGAATTTTTGCCTTCCCAACTCGGCAGTTAGGCCAGCCCAGCCCCTTCCCTCTGGACTCCGAGAGCCAGAGGGAGATGAGCTCGCCACAGCTGAACTGGCCCTTGGTTCCTGTGTTCTGCCCATCTGTATATACGCCATATGTGGATCTGCCTATGCCATATCTACGTGCCAACAAATGGACGTTGTTCTTTTCAGATTAGCATGCAGATAGGAATTTTGAGTTTCCTCTTCTCTTCGGTAACTAATATAACAAGCACTGGTATTTTTGTACAAAAAAAACAGAAAACAAAGACCCCCAACCTCAGAGGATTGACTCTTGTGGTCCGCATGGCAAACGGCGATCACAGAGTAGTGAGTATCCTTGTGTGTGTGTGTAGCCATAATTTGCAGTTCAGCTTAACAGTGCACCCAAAGCCGTACTTGCATTTTGATATTATTGAAGCTCTATGTACAATGTTTTTGCATGTATTTATATGGTTCTTTGGGCAAATCTGAAATTCAAACGTGTTGTTCCACTGAGACAGGAAGAAGAGGAGTTTTCAAAGGGATACCTTTTCTTTTTTTTTTTTTGAACCAATAAAGCTTTTTGCTGATGAGCAGAAACCGATACTGTCATGCACTGAGAATAAAAACCCATGTCCACAGCCCCGTGCTGTCCCCGTGTGTCTCCACTCTGTTCCTCTTGGAGCTGGGCACTGTCACAGCCACCTGCTGGTGTCAGCACAGAACCCAGCCTTCTCTCACCGTGTCCTGCGCTCCTGGGCCCTCACTGCCCGAGTTGCCAATCTCCACCCAGTAGAGAACAAGCTTTGTGCTGCCCACTGAGGTAAGTAGAGTCCATGATCCAGAAACATGGACACTCGAGTCTTGGGAGGGATAGGAAAGGGGCAGCCTGGAGAACACTCTCCTTTTCTATTTTATTTGTTTATTTCTTTTTGTGCCAGTACTTGGGCTTGAAATCAAAGCCAGAGATCTCTCTTTTTTTTTTTTTTTGGCTCAACGCTGTTGTTCTACCACTGGAACTACCACTCCACTTCCAGCTTTTTGTTGGTTACCTGGAGATTAGTGTTTCTTGAATTGATCTGCCCAGGTTGGCTGAGATCTCTGATATCACTATGGAATACGGTAGGACAGCCAGCTCAGCCCCTCGCTCAGGTGAACGTGGAAAAGACATGCCCTTCTCTTCCATCTTTTTCCCTACCCCCAGTTTTAAAGATAACTCTTTGCCCATCACCTTTAGTAGTGGTTTGTGAAATCCCCTTCCTCACTACCACATTCTCTCCCTGTGGTCACTGGATTGCTTCCAAGCTCTCTACCGATCTGCCCTGGTTCCTTTCCATGCAAACACATGGCCAGGCCTTTCACTCCCTGACTGATTCTGTGGTGGAACCAAAGAGGACTCGTCGGCTGTCAAAAAGATAGTACCAGCCCCAGACCGTGACCAGTGTGTGCCTGACCATTCCCATCACTAAAAGTAAGAAGGAAGATGAGAACGACATGTTCTTCACCAGCAAATACCTTTGGAAACCTGATGTCAATAACACATGTAGACATGTTGCTATCTCTGTGTGGCATGAACCATCATGAGCCAACATGAACCTAAGCTACAAATAATAGCTTGCTAGCTGAGTAGGCCAAAAGCTTTCATCTTGAAAATGAGGGTCAGAGGAGGGACGTTTCTGGTTCTGAATCCTGAGGTGAGCCAGCCATAAACAAGTGTTTATGTTTAAATCTTTTTTCAAATAAGATCTCCCAGGCAGAACAAGATGAAGGAAGGAAATGCCTCTGCCCCATCTTTAAAACAGTGTCAACACCCAAATGCTAGCCCATACTTCCTTCCACTGAAGAAATGAAATAACCAGAAGTTGAACTTCTCATGGAGTCTAAGCAAGGCTAGTACCACTACATTCCCAGGGATGTGTCTATCTCTTCTGGCTCCTGTGGACAAAAATGCCCCCTCTTTTTATTTCCCCAGGGCCTGGGTGCTATCCTTGACCTCCCCCCACCCCCTTCCAGACTAGCACTGGTCTAGGCCACAGCTCTACTTCTGGCTTTCTTGGTGGTTAACTGGAAATGAGAGTCTCGTGGAATTTCTTGCTCAGGCTGGCTTTGAATCACAATCCTCAGATCTCAGCCTCTTGAGTGGCTAGAAGTACAGGTGTGAGCCACCAGTGCCTGGTAACAACATACCCTCTAAGACCACATAGATGACCATCTCCTTCTAGCATATGCTTTTTCAAAATGGGCTCAGTTACATTTTCTGGCCATATTAGACCCAGGAATATGACACTGGACTTAGTGTTGTAAAATTCCAGATCTTCATGTCTTGGCCTACTTACTTTTCGTTTGTTCCTATGTTGTGATGCTGGAGAAGGAACTCCAGACATAGTTACACAAGACATAGTTATACTCTAGACTGAACTACATCTCCAAACCCTTATGCCTATTCACGGTAAGTATATATTGACATTTTACTTGAGCCAGAGGTAGTGGGGCATGCCTGTGATCCCAGAACTTAGGAGGGTATTGAATTTAAGGCTTACCTGGACCATGTGGTGAGACCTGTCTCCAAAACAGAACAAAACAAGGTGAAGAAAAATGGGGCGATGAGGGGTGGGGAAGGAGAGGAGGAAATGGAGGAGGAAAAGGAAGAAGGAAGCTGGCACCAGGTGCCTCATTTTACTACTCCTAGCTACTCAGGAGTCAGATCGGAGGATCGTGGTTCAAAGTCATCCTGGGTGGAAAAGTCTGTGACTCTTGTCTCCAATTAAATCACAGAAAAAGCCAGAAGTGGCGCTGTGACACAAGTGATAGAGAGCTAGCCATGACCAAAAGGAGCCCAGGACAGCACCCAGGCCCTGACTTCAACCCCAGGACCAGCACAAAAACAAAAACAGGAAGAAGATAGGAAGAAAAACCTTGAAAGAGGAAGTATGTCTAGGGAGTGAAGGGTGAGGAACTATCAGTTTCCTTCAGCATACCTAAGAGGGAGACCAAATATATTTGAAGTCACCCAGACCCCTTCATTTAAGTCCAGACTGCCAGCATCTTCCCCAACAGATCATTAACCAGTAGAAAAGGGAAAGGTTGGAACCCTTGGGAAACAAGCAGGAAAACAATGGCTCCATTTGAAATGGAAGCAGCCACTGTTGCACAGGTGGCACGCATGTCCTGATCGCAGCTCCGCTTCATTCCCATCTGTTCAGGACCATCAATGTGTGGAAATGATTCTCAGATCACACTTTGAAGCTTGGAAAGAGACTCCTCAGAGATGATTCAGGGCCTACAGGTGTTTGACAAAAATAGCACTTCTTTAAAGAAGGGTTGCCGACTTGCAGATCAGCTGTAGCTTTTGAAAATGAAAATGACTTAAAGACTGAACATGCTTCTTTTTAAGGTCCCTGGGAGCTGAAATGCTACGATTATAATTTCAAAAAATAAGCCAGACACCATGGCTCACACCTGTAATTCTAGTTTCCTAGGAGGCTGAGATCTAAGATCCAGTTCAAAGCTAGCTCAGGCAGATAAATATGAGGAACTCTTACCTTCAACTGAATTGCAAAAAGCTGGAAATAGAGGTGGGGCTCAAGTAGTAGAGTGCTAGTCTTGAGCAAAGAAGCCCTGGGGGCAGTGTTCAGGCCCTGACTTCAAGCTCTAGGACTGGCACAAAAAAATAAAAAATGTAAATCAGCACTGAAATGCTCCAAAGTTGAGTAATATTGTAACAAGTTGTATGTTTAACTATATGAGCAAGCTAGGCATGGTGAGGCACAGCTGTAATCCCAGCTACTTTGGGGGCAGAGAGGTAAGAAGATAACATTCCAAGTTTATCCCAAGAAAAACACAACCTATCTGAAAAACAAAAGCAAAAGGCCTGGGCTAGTGGCTCATTTTTAGAATCCTAGCTACTCAAGACGCTGCAACCAGAGAATTGTGGTTGGCAGTCAGCCCAGACAGAAAAGTCCATGGACTCCATCTCAGTTAACAAAGAGCCAGGATGGAAGCATGGCTGAAGTAGTAGAGCCCAATAAGAAAGCTGAGTGAGCGTTTGATTAATTAATTAAAGTATACATACACACACATGCACACAGCAACTCTAATTTGGACCCCATTTCAAATAGCTCCTATCTTGGTTACCAACAATATGCAGAAATAAAATATAATAAATCTTTGTGATTAGAGTCCAGCCATCCAAAACACTCATCTAACTAATTCTGTAGAGAAATGAAAGCCTTCTGCTGTGAAATTTGCTATTGGATGAACAGTAGTTTGGAAATGCTGTGATCTAGCCCGTGGCGTGGTATGAAATGAGAGGAAGAGTCAAGTGTGTCACTTGCTCTAAGGGCAAGCAGAAGGAATGGGTTTTAATCCTGACCCGGCTGTCCATTTGCTCTGTCACTTCAGGCTCTTTCCGGCTCTGACCCTGTTTCCACTCTTGCTCTAGTGTTTAACCACTATTAATAACCAGAGGAGACTGGCTAAATGGAGGTTCTATTTCATGCCTTTATCTCCCCTGGAACATAGCTCAATTGTGCATGAATTAAAACACTACTGCATGCACAGATAGGCTGCTTGTATCCACCACCACCAAGATTAACTGCTCCATGCCTTTAAAGTACAAGACATAGGTTTCTTTTCTAACTCAGACCCGGCCTTGAACTAGCTTGAACTCCCCCGGGTCTGTGAGAGGATCTTGTCTGCTACCCTTGGATGCTGGCCCGTCATTCCGTGCACAAGCACAGTATTGGTTGTCAGGCGTTGTATGCACTGAGCATACATAGTACAAGGCCCTGACCACCTCTCCTCATGGAGAAGAGAGAACTATTTATCAAGTGGAGGGGTGATAAGGGCCAGGGGGGAAAGGAAGGTGGAATAAAGGGAATGGGGAGGGCAAGATATAAGCCATTCATGAGGTTTGGAGAAAGCGTGAGAGCGAGTGAGGTGAAGATGTGGAGGCCAGGGCCTCCACGCACAGAGCACAAGTGTAGAGGCCCTGAGGCAGGAGGCCTTGCAAGGAGACCAGGGATGGAACTGAGTCACTAAGTGGGAAAGTGAAAATGATAAACTCAGAAGCTAGAGGCCATGGTAAATTTGGTGTTCATGAAGCAGAAACTCATTGCAGGGTTTTACCTGAGGCCTGCAATGATCTAGCTTACAGGTCAACAGGGTCATACCACCTGTGCGTGACTGCCGATCTAGGGGGAAACAGAGGGCTGATGTAGCTTCACTGCACATGCACCCAGTGGAACTCACCTCCTGTTAAAGGGGTATAGTCAGATCCAAG